GGGTAGTCTTGGGTAGTCTTGGGTAGCTTGGGTAGTCTTGGGTAGCTTGGGTAGTCTTGGGTAGTCTTAGGTAGTCTTGGGTAGCTTGGTATTTACATTGGGCAGCTGGGTAGTTTGGCAGCTTGGGTGTTTGGTTTCTTGGGTAGCTTGGGTAGTCTTGGGTAGCTTGGGTATTTTATTTGAAACCCAACACACTGGTTCTGTACAGAACATGCTCTGGTACTGTATTAAGTGTCTTCATTTGTTCCCCACAGTTCACTACAAGTCACTCACACGCTCTCACCCTCTCACCTCTCTCTCTCGCCCTTCAATTCCCCCAATATAATTAACACCATGTGTAGATCGAATCAACACAATCAACACTCTCAAGAATGAGAGGACCATCAAGCAGTCTTTTGTGTGTCCATCACCACGTCCCCGCCTCTCTGTATCACTCCTAATAAAGCCTGTCTCACTCCTAGCTCTATTACCCTTTGTTACTGGGTGAGACATGAGGGGGAAGGTGCTGGGGGGGGGGGGGGGGGTTACTGGGTGACAGGAGTCAGGAGAGACTGGAGGGGTTGATATGAGAAGGAGAGGGGTGGGGTGGTTCTGGGGGCTGGGGAAATAGAAAGCCTGGCATCACTAGGGCCAACTCGCGGGTACTCCCCCCCCTCACCCGATCCCACGGGTTCATGGGAACAGCTGATCGGCTTATGGAGCCTGCTGGGGGCCACGGCAGGGGGGGGGGAGGCGTGGTTGTTTGCCAGGGGTTCCCGTGGCGACGGTAACCGGGGGATTCTGACTCCAACTGTCAGTCTGACTTTCTCTAGCTGCTCTGATTGTTTTCTCTTCGTTCTGTGAGACTTTGTCTGCATGGGCCCTGGTCAAAAGTAATGCACTGTATAGGGAATAGACCTTGAGTTTCTCAGTCATCTGTGCCTGCTGTTCCCTGCTAAGGCCCAGGGGAGGCCCTCACATTGTTTGAGCAGTGATTCAGAAAGAGAAGGAAGGTAAATTGGGGAATCTCTCCTCTAGGATCATCTATAGCTTCCCAGACACAGATGAAGACTGTAACAGTGCTGGAGTCCCACTGGGCTTTTTAATTGGTAACACTTTTCCTTCCGGTTGAAATACTTCCTTAATAAAACTTTCCTCATTAAATGGATGGAAACTGCTACAGCTGACTGATGTGGAAGTGATTTAAAGAATAACTTTGTATGACGAGAGGGTTGAGAGAAAGGGGGTAACAGAGCCTTAAGCAGGGTAACACTCTCCCACCCCCTTGCATTTACTGAAAGAGACAGAAAACACAACCAGCACAGCCATAAAAATGTATTCCTCCAACTTCCCCACATTTGGCAACCTGATCAAATCTGAATCTGTCTCCATAATTCAACTAATAACAACACCAGAACCCACAGACAGACAGACCAACCCTCTGTATCGTACATTTTACATTTACGTCATTTTGCAGACACTCTTATCCAGAGCAACTTACATGAGCAATTAGGGTTAAGTGCCTTGCTCAAGGGCACATCGACAGATTTTTCACCTAGTCAGCTCGGGGATTAGAACCAGCGACCTTTCGGTTACTGGCACAACGCTCTTACCCACTAAGCTACCTGCAGCAGTGAGGTCGTACGGCACTAGTACCACAGGAGAAGTCCTACCTCACCATGTCGGAGTACACCACACATACACACAGCGGTACCTCAGCATGTCGGAGCACACTGCTACCGTCTGAGAATACCAGAGGGAGACCGTCTAATTGAATGAAGTCCAACAAGATATTTGGAGAACAGACAGTGTGTGTGATGCAAGGAGACAGGACAGGTCTGCTCTCTCATATGTTACCCAGCGTGAACGGCGGCAGACGCCATTCCAGCTGTGAGGTCAGGTGTTGGGAGGGAACGGGGAGCGGGGCGCTGTATCTACGACAGGAAGGGAACGGGGTGCTGTATCTACGACAGGAAGGGAACGGGGTGCTGTATCTACGACAGGAAGGGAACGGGGTGCTGTATCTACGACAGGAAGGGAACGGGGTGCTGTATCTACGACAGGAAGGGAATGGGGTGCTGTATCTACGACAGGAAGGGAATGGGGTGCTGTATCTATGACAGGAAGGGAACGGGGTGCTGTATCTACGACAGGAAGGAAATGGGGTGCTGTATCTACGACAGGAAGGGAATGGGGTGCTGTATCTACGACAGGAAGGGAACGGGGTGCTGTATCTATGAAAGGAAGGGAACAGGGCGCTGGGTGCTGGGTGCTGGGTGCTGTATATACAAAAGGAAAGGGAACGGGACGCTGCATCTACGACAGGATCTAGGATCTAGGATGGTAAGGGAACGGGGTACTGGGCGATGCATCTATGACAGGAAGGAAACGGGTGCTGTATGTACAAAAGGAAGAGAACGGGGCGTTGTATCTATGAAAGGAAGGGAACGGGGCGCTTTATCTAAGACTGGAAGGGGAACAGGGCACTAGGCGCTGCATCTACGACAGGAAGGTAACGTGGAGCTGTATTTACGACAGGAAGGAAACGGGGTGCTGTATCTACAAAAGGAAATGGGAATGAGACGCTGCATCTACAACAGGAAGGTAACGGGGTGCTGTATCTATGACAGGAAGGGAACGTGGTGCTGTATCTACGACAGGAAGGGAACAGGGTTCTGTATCTACAACAGGAAAGGAACGGGACGCTGTATCTACAACAGATAGGGAACAGGGCGCTGTATCTACGACAGGAAGCGAACGGGGTGCTGTATCTATGAGAGGGAGGGAACAGGGCGCTGTATCTACGACAGGAAGGGAACGGGGTGCTGTATCTACGACAGCAAGGGAACGGGGCGCTGCATCTACGATGGAAAGGGAACGTGGTGCTGTATCTACGACAGGAAGGGAACGGGTTGCTGTTTCTGTGACAGGAAGGGAACAGGGTTCTGTATCTACGACAGGAAGGGAACGGGGTGCTGTATCTACGACAGGAAGGGAATGGGGTGCTGTATCTACTACAGGAAGGGAACGGGGTGCTGTATCTACGACAGGAAGGGAACGGGGTGCTGTATCTACAACAGGAAGGGAACAGGGTGCTGTATCTACGACAGGAAGGGAACAGGGTGCTGTATCTACTACAGGAAGGGAACGGGGTGCTGTATCTACTACAGGAAGGGAACGAGGTGCTGTATCTACGACAGGAAGGGAACGAGGTGCTGTATCTACGACAGGAAGGGAACGAGGTGCTGTATCTACGGCAGGAAGGGAACGAGGTGCTGTATCTACTACGGGAAGGGAACGGGGTGCTGTATCTACAACAGGAAATGAACGGGACACTGTATTTACAACAGGAAGGGAATGGGGTGCTGTATCTACGAATGGAAGGGAACGTGGTGCTGTATCTACGACAGGAAGGGAACGTGGTGCTGTATCTACGACAGGAAGGGAACGAGGTGCTGTATCTACGGCAGGAAGTGAACGAGGTGCTGTATCTACTACAGGAAGGGAATGGGGTGCTGTATCTACAACAGGAAAGGAACGGGACACTGTATTTACAACAGGAAGGGAATGGGGTGCTGTCTCTACGACAGGAAGGGAACGTGGTGCTGTATCTATGACGAGAATGGAACGGGGCAGGGATGTACTATTACTGAACTTCAAATCCCAGTGCAGGAAGACACTACACTCTAAGATGACACCAATCTGGATATCTGAAATTCTCCACTGCAGGATTTAGGATAGGGGGATGGGTTAAGGGGGAGGGGGGATAAAGCCTTAAATGCACAGTAGGGGACAGATGCACCAATGTCTCCTTTTGCTTCTACATACAGTATAGTGTACACATCAATGGACCCCAGATTCCGAGAACATGGTTCAGACCCAGAATGCTAACCAGAGTCCGAATATACCCAAACAGATAGGAGTTGAACAGATAGGAGTTGAACAGATTGGAGTTGAACAGATAGGAGTTGAACAGATAGGAGTTGAACAGATAAGAGTTGAACAGATAGGAGTTGAACAGATAGGAGTTGAACAGATAGGAGTTGAACAGATAGGAGTTGAACAGATAGGAGTTGAACAGATAGGAGTTGAACAGATAGGAATTTGTGGTGCTATGACTCAACTCTGACCCTGACTCAAAACATAATTTCACAAATGCTAATTTTGCCCTTATCTGTTGAATAACAACTTTGTGTGTGAGTCTGAAAAAAATCAACAACATCACTGAGTCATTGCTGCATCCTCCCGTTGACATTTCTATTTCTATGGGGCAGCCGAAGACGCTGTGTCACAGACAAACAATCATATGGTGCCCATATTAGGAAATCCATCTAGTCACAAGGAGTTGGTGTCACATTGACTCCAGGCTGGCGAGGGTGAGGAGGAGGAATGGAGGAGTGGAGAGTGAGGGGTGGAGAGTGAGGTGGAGGAATGGAGGAGTGGAGAGTGAGGGGTGGAGAGTGAGGTGGAGGAATGGAGGAGTGGAGAGTGAGGGGTGGAGAGGAAAGGTTGGTGTGTGTTGGTGTGTGTTGGTGTGTATTGGTGTGTGTTAGTGTGTATCGATGTGTATCGGTGTGTGTTGGTGTGTATTGGTGTGTTTAAGTTAATGGATAACAAGTTAATGGACAATAAAGTACATACTATCTTATCTTATCATATTGGTGAGGTGTGGAGATGTGGGTGTGTGTTATTGAGGAGGGGTGGAGATGTGGGTGTGTGTTAGTGTTATTGAGGAGGGGTGGAGATGTGGGTGGGTGTTAGTGTTATTGAGGAGGGGTGGAGATGTGGAGATGTGGGTGTGTGTTATTGAGGAGGGGTGGAGGTGTGGGTGGGTGTTAGTGTTATTGAGGAGGGGTGGAGATGTGGAGATGTGGGTGTGTGTTATTGAGGAGGGGTGGAGATGTGGGTGTGTGTTATTGAGGAGGGGTGGAGATGTGGGTGTGTGTTAGTGAGGAGGGGTGGAGGAGGAGGTGGATGTACAGAAAAGTGTGAAAATGTATAAAATGTATACAATCACTACTGTAATTCACTATGGATAAGAGCATCTGTTAAATGACTAAAATGTAAATGGTGTGTGACATCACAGCAGTACCAATGGAGAGGATGGGATGGCAAATAGAGTGAGAGAGAGAGAGAGAGAGAGAGAGAGAGCGCGAGAGAGAGAGAGAGAGAGAGAGAGGAAGAGAGGGAGAGAGAGAGAGAGCAGGACAGAGAGAGAGATAGAGAGAGAAGAGAGAGAGACTGAGAGAGAGAAGAGATGTGGCACAGAGTGAGACATTAAGCTGAGAGAGAGAGAGGTGGAGCTGAGACACAGAGAGAGAGAGATAAGATAATAGATGTTTAGCTTGGCTGTGTCCTACCTGGATCTCTCAGTATGAGCTGGGCCATAGCCTGGGCGTTCCCTGCTTTATTCTCAGCCACACACTGATAGAAGCCTTCATCTGACTTCACCAGACCAAGGATCTGGAGGTTACTGCCATCCTAAAGAGGAAGGTATAACAGTTAGAATATTATTTTATTGTCCAATGTACATGAATGTCCAATGTTAAGTTGTCTTCCGCTAAACACAAACCCCTCCACAAGACATGCAGTACCTGCACACAAATTGGATAGATTATACGGTCGTGGTATTATATGTTACTGTACATGGATTACAACCCCCCCCCCCCCCCACACACCATACACATACACACACACACACACACACACACACACACACACACACACACACACACACACACACACACACACAGAGTCCTTTGATTTGCCTAACTTACAACGATCTGGAAGTAGTCACTGGGGATGACCTCCTCTCCATTCTTCATCCAGCGCACCGTAGGAGGAGGGTTCCCTGTTACAGCACACTCGAGCTCCAGGTCCGTACTCTCATGGGAATACGTGTTGCTGGGGTAGTTCAGGAACTGGGGCGGTACTGCACAGAGAGATGAAACAGTATTACGGTTGGGGTTGGGGTTAGTTATGTGTATAGTTATTGGTTAAGGTTGGGGTTATTTCAGGAACTGTAGAGGAACTGTAGAGAGAGAGAGATACAGGGTTAGGGTTAGGGTTGGGGTTATTCCAGGAACTGGAGAGGAACTGGAGAGAGAGAGAGAGATACAGGGTTAGGGTTGGGGTTGGGGTTATTCCAGGAACTGGAGAGGAACTGGAGAGAGAGAGAGATACAGGGTTAGGGTTAGGGTTGGGGTTATTCCAGGAACTGGAGAGGAACTGTAGAGAGAGAGAGAGAGAGAGAGAGAGAGAGAGAGAGATACAGGGTTAGGGTTAGGGTCATGGGCGGTGTGTTCAATAGGGCGATATGGGCGACGCACTGCCAAACGGGAAAAGGAAGGGATTTTGTTTCTAATCAATTATATCATGGCAACAGTAGTTCAGTGTTCACGTCTGATCTGCCAGCCACTAAATGTCCAATCAGGCTAAAGTCGTGCTTCAAATGTCCCCGCCCGTTTTGGGGCGATTTCAGTCAGGTTGAAAATCGCCCAGAAGTCTCTCATAGCCTCTAATGTAAAATAATGTATAATTTCTGAGCTTTCAATACATTCTCTATGGGTGTCTGAGGGCTTGCACTTACGCGCTTTCGTCATACGTAACGTAACGTAACCATGAACGGCAGACAGCAACGCTTGGACAGCGACTGGTGTAACCGACATGCACCATCTTTCAGAAAAGATTAAGAAAAATGAGCTGTCAAAGACCCACATTGATAGCTGTTTGAGATTGTCTGCTTTGGTGAGAGTGAATATTGCCACTCAACTGGATGAGGGATACAGGCTAGCTGTCCGCCGCCACAACGATGAGGTTAGCAACAGCAGAGTCGTGAACACTGTCTACGAGAATCGAGACGACCTCATAGAATGTTTTGAAGCCATCCGGACGGGTTCATTGGGTTCATTTGACCAGCCCACCGTACCAGAAGCTACAGAATAAGGACATCGATGCTGTCTTTATCAAACGTGCCCTCGACAGCTTCGCAAGCAGTGTGCAGGCCATAAGGTAAGATAAAGATTAAACAATATCATTCGATCTTTTCTCAAAGCAGAGCTTTATTTGAAAATGTATGCATGAAAGGAGACTGCATTTGTGTTTGAAATTACATTATTGTCATTATATATGGCCAGTGGTGTAATCTATCTTATTTTATATACTATGTGTACTGTACAGTGGTGCTCATAAGTGTATGAACACATTCTAAAGCTGACTAAAAAGAGGAATAAAAAAATAAAAAAATCATCTTTTGGAAATTGATCTTAATGACTTAATTAAAAAAGTTGGAAAATCCAACCTTTAAGGACACCAATTTTCTTTTCTTTTTTATTCCTCTTTTTAGTCAACTTTAGCATGGGATCATAAGCTTATGAGCACCACTGTATACTGTGCTGAACATCCAGGCTATGTGAGACACAAAGGCTAACTTAAACACTAAAGACTTTATGCATCCCTGCCCATTTTAAGTGGAACTGAAGTATTTGTACTATACATGGATACATTGCATATACCTGTGCATCACATAGACAACAATACTGTACAAAGCCAACAAACACATTGGTCTGTTTGCCTTCAGGGACTCCTCTCAACAGCAGCTGCAAGAAGCAACAGGAGCCAAAAGACCCAGAACAGCTTTGAGAGAAGAGGAGAAGCAGAGGCTGTCTGAAGAGGTCTGCAACACCATCCTGGATCACACCAAAGAAAGGTTCTCTTTCTCTGGCCACCTTGTGAGTGCTACCTTACTGCAAGCAGACATGTTTGAAAGGTACTGCCATTCAAAAAAATAAAAAATCTGTTCATGTTCATTTTTACAAATCTATACAATTGGCCAGAATATGGTTGTTCATATTTACAAATCTATACAATTGGCCAGAATATGGTTGTTCATTTTTACAAAGCCATACATATTGTTTATGCAGTGTTGAGGAATGTGAAAGAACACCCTTGATTATTTTTACTGTGATAACTTATTTTGCTTTTGTAAGCCAACACTTTTGAGATCAGTCAATAAATGCTTCTGGTATTGACTTATATGCTGCCCCTGTCTTCATGTTGTTGCTGGACATATCTTTTTAAAAATGTGTGTAGGTCACCTAAATCATCAGAAAAATTGCCCCTCCTGAGAATTTTTTCAGGAGCCGCCACTGGTTAGGGTTGGGGTTATTCCAGGAACTGGAGAGGAACTGGAGAGAGAGAGAGAGATACAGGGTTAGGGTTAGGGTTGGGGTTATTCCAGGAACTGTAGAGGAACTGGAGAGAGAGAGAGAGATACAGGGTTAGGGTTAGGGTTGGGGTTATTCCAGGAACTGGAGAGGAACTGTAGAGAGAGAGAGAGAGATACAGGGTTAGGGTTAGGGTTGGGGTTATTCCAGGAACTGGAGAGGAACTGTAGAGAGAGAGAGAGAGAGAGAGAGATACAGGGTTAGGGTTAGGGTTGGGGTTATTCCAGGAGCTGTGGAGGAACTGGAGACATACAGAGGGAACAGAAGACAGAATAAGATTATGAAGTCAGTTACAGAAGAACCAGGAGGCAAACAGGTGGATGACAGCTTGGGAACAAGTATCAGTGGATGACAGCTTGGGAACAAGTATCAGCGGATGACAGCTTGGGAACAAGTATCAGTGGATGACAGCTTGGGAACAAGTATCAGCGGATGACAGTTTGGGAACAAGTATCAGTGGATGACAGCTTGGGAACAAGTATCAGTGGATGACAGCTTGGGAACAAGTATCAGTGGATGACAGCTTGGGAACAAGTATCAGTGGATGACAGCTTGGGAACAAATATCAGTGGATGACAGCTTGGGAACAAATATCATTGGATGACAGTTTAGGAACAAGTATCATTGGATGACAGCTTGGGAACAAGTATCAGCGGATGACAGTTTGGGAACAAGTATCAGTGGATGACAGCTTGGGAACAAGTATCATTGGATGACAGCTTGGGAACAAGTATCAGTGGATGACAGCTTGGGAACAAGTATCAGTGGATGAGAGTATTGTCTTCATACCACAGTACTATGACTTTACTTATCCTTGCATTTTCTAGTTGTTACTAATACACATGTATGATCTTAATTTGAGCCTGTGTGCTACAACAGGAAAATAATCCTGCAGCAACAGGAACTTTGAATTATTACGTAACAGGAGACAGTTGAACAATTAATTCTGCCTCTGATTTCCCCAAGAGGATTTAGTGTCCCAAATGGACCCTGGTCTAAAGAAGTGCACTACATAGGGAAAATGGTGCCATTTGGACACAACCTCAGTCAGGCCTATTCTTTTAATCTGAAGGAATATAATGTGTGTGATTACTGTATGACTAAAGCCAGTTGAGAAACTAAACAACCTATATTCTGATTCTGTCTTGCTTTGAACCCCTCTTGATTTCAAGCAGTAGACAAACATAAACAAAATGTCAACATAGGAAATTAATTATCGATTTGTTCAATAAAGCTTGTCCTGTCCCGTCCTGTCCTGTTCATTTCTATTCTGTTGTGTTATAGGTCAATAAATATTGTCCTGTCCTGTTCTGTCCTGTTCTGTTATAGGTCAATAAAGCTTGTCCTGTCCTGTCCTGTTCTGTCCTGTTCTGTTCTGTTGTGTTATAGGTCAATAAAGCTTGTCCTGTCCCGTCCTGTTCATTTCTATTCTGTTGTGTTATAGGTCAATAAATCTTGTCCTGTCCTGTCCTGTCCTGTCCTGTTCTGTTCTGTTGTGTTATAGGTCAATAAATCTTGTCCTGTCCTGTCCTGTCCTGTCCTGTTCTGTCCTGTTCTGTTATAGGTCAATAAAGCGTGTCCTGTCCTGTTCTGTTCTGTTCTGTCCTGTCCTGTCCTGTCCTGTTCTGTCCTGTTCTGTCCTGTTCTGTTCTGTTGTGTTATAGGTCAATAAAGCTTGTCCTGTCCTGTCCTGTCCTATTCAGTTGTGTTATAGGTCAATAAAGCTTGTCCTGTCCTGTCCTGTTCTGTCCTGTTGTGTTATAGGTCAATAAAGCCTGTCCTGTCCTGTCCTGTCCTGTTCTGTCCTGTCCTGTCCTGTTGTGTTATAGGTCAATAAAGCCTGTCCTGTCCTGTCCTGTTTGTTTAATTACGACATTGAGTATAAAACTGTACAGTTTAATAGTTGGTTGCAAACAATGAATATAACTACAAAATATGGATATAGCCAGAGAGAGAGAGGGAGGGGGTGAGGGAAAGAGAGAAAGATGGAGAGAGAGAGAGAGAGAGAGGGAGAGAGAGGGAGGGGGTGAGGGAAAGATGGAGAGAGAAAGACAGAGAGAGAGAGACGAAGATAGTAGAGAGAGAGTGAGGGGTGATTGGAAAGAGAGAAAGATGAGAGTAGAGCGATCAGGATTAGATTGTTGATCTTGAGACTAGAGAGAGATGATAGACTGATGTGTGGGTGTTTGGTATGTAAATGATTGCTAGCGATACCTACAGACATCAGATAATGATATAGCTATGAGTTGATTTGGAGTTGTGTGATGGAAGCATTAGTCAGAAAACAGATAAGAGGATATGATAGAGTAGAAGTGTGAACGTGTGAGTAAAAGAGAGAGGATCACTCAAGGAAATAGTAGGTCACAGACTTTAAGTTTGAGTGTTGTCGCGTGGTCACCTGTGGGACAGAATGACAGTACAGCCCCATCACCCTGCACTCTGTCTCACCTCTGCAGGCTTAGCTGTCTCCGGTGAGTGTGTGTGCGTGTGTGAGTGTGAGTGCGTGCGTGTGTGTATGTGTGTGTGTATGTGTGTGTGTGCCTGCGTTTGTGTTTGTGTGTGTGTCTCCAGGGGGTGTGTGTAAGGAAGGGGTTGACAGACAGACAGGGGAGCAGGCAAATACCCCCCAAACCCCCTGCACTCTACCCACACAGAGACACAAACACACACACCCCTGCACTCTACCCACACAGAGACACAAACACACACCCCTGCACTCTACCCACACAGAGACACAAACACACACCCCTGCACTCTACCCACACAGAGACACAAACACACACCCCTGCACTCTACCCACACAGAGACACAAACACACACCCCTGCACTCTCACCCCATCACAAAGGTTATCTTCCTACTACTTCTACTACACGCTGTGGCAGTCAGACTTCCCCAGACACACTGTGACAGTCAGACTTCCTCAGACACACTGTGGCAGTCAGACTTCCTCAGACACACTGTGACAGTCAGACTTCCTCAGACACACTGTGACAGTCAGACTTCCTCAGACACACTGTGACAGTCAGACTTCCTCAGACACACTGTGACAGTCAGACTTCCTCAGACACACTGTGACAGTCAGACTTCCTCAGACACACTGTGACAGCAACTTCCTCAGACACACGTGACAGTCAGACTTCCTCAGACACACTGTGACTTCAGTCCTCACAACGGTACTCACTTCTCGACACACTGTGACAGTCAGACTTCCTCAGACACACTGTGACAGTCAGACTCCTCAGACACACTGTGCAGTCAGACTTCCTCAGACACACTGTGACAGTCAGACTTCCTCAGACACACTGTGACAGTCAGACTTCCTCAGACCACTGTGACAGTCAGACTTCCTCAGACACACTGTGACAGTCAGACTTCCTCAGACACACTGTGACAGTCAGACTTCCTCAGACACACTGTGACAGTCAGACTTCCTCAGACACACTGTGACAGTCAGACTTCCTCAGACACACTGTGACAGTCAGACTTCCTCAGACACACTGTGGACAGTCAGACTTCCTCAGACACACTGTGACAGTCAGACTTCCTCAGACACACTGTGACAGTCAGACTTCCTCAGACACACTGTGACAGTCAGACTTCCTCAGACACACTGTGACAGTCAGACTTCCTCAGACACACTGTGAAAGTGAGACATGTTATGATGCTACCGTCCGTATTTCCAACACACCCATCTGTCTCCGAGGGATGGACATGTGGCAATAAACAGAGAATTATAAAACAACAATGTGATGTGAATCCTCCTGGGGATAAGCACTGAGCTCCTCTGAATCACTGGTAGAACACATCTGTCAGATTGGGAACAAGCCAGGGATATTACTATGGTAAATACCACAAAAATAAGATGTCATTTTCACAGAACAATATGTAGTCGGCAGCTGCAAAATGTACAGCGTACACACATGTGCACATGTTAAATCTACTATACAGTGTAAACCTGTTAAATCTACTCTACTCCTGTTAAATCTACTCTACTCCTGTTAAATCTACTATACACCTGTTAAATCTACTATACGCCTGTTAAATCTACTATACACCTGTTAAATCTACTCTACTCCTGTTAAATCTACTATACACCTGTTAAATCTACTCTACTCCTGTTAAATCTACTATACACCTGTTAAATCTACTCTACTCCTGTTAAATCTACTATACACCTGTTAAATCTACTATACACCTGTTAAATCTACTATACACCTGTTAAATCTACTTTACTCCTGTTAAATCTACTATACACCTGTTAAATCTACTATACACCTGTTAAATCTACTCTACTCCTGTTAAATCTACTCTACTCCTGTTAAATCTACTATACACCTGTTAAATCTACTATACACCTGTTAAATCTACAATACACCTGTTAAATCTACTCTACTCCTGTTAAATCTACTATACACCTGTTAAATCTACTCTACGCCTGTTAAATCTACTATACACCTGTTAAATCTACTATACACCTGTTAAATATACTGTTAAATCTACTATACACCTGTTAAATCTACTATACACCTGTTAAATCTACTCTATGCCTGTTAAATCTACTATACACCTGTTAAATCTACTATACACCTGTTAAATATACTGTTAAATCTACTATACACCTGTTGAATCTACTCTACGCCTGTTAAATCTACTCTACGCCTGTTAAATCTACTATACACCTGTTAAATCTACTATACACCTGTTAAATATACTGTTAAATCTACTGTTAAATCTACTATACACCTGTTAAATCTACTATACACCTGTTAAATCTACTCTACTCCTGTTAAATCTACTATACACCTGTTAAATCTACTATACACCTGTTAAATCTACTATACACCTGTTAAATCTACTATACCTGTTATAGACTGTAAATCTACTATACACCTGTTAAATCTACTATACACCTGTTAAATCTACTATACACCTGTTAAATCTACTGTTAAATCTACTATACACCTGTTAAATCTACTCTACTCCTGTTAAATCTACTATACACGTGTTAAATCTACTATACACCTGTTAAATATACTGTTTAATCTACTATACACCTGTTAAATCTACTCTACGCCTGTTAAATCTACTCTACGCCTGTTAAATCTACTATACACCTGTTAAATCTACTATACACCTGTTAAATATACTGTTAAATCTACTGTTCAATCTACTATACACCTGTTAAATCTACTATACACCTGTTAAATCTACTCTACTCCTGTTAAATCTACTATACACCTGTTAAATCTACTATACACCTGTTAAATCTACTATACACCTGTTAAATCTACTATACACCTGTTAAATCTACTATACACCTGTTAAATATACTGTTAAATCTACTATACACCTGTTAAATCTACTATACACCTGTTAAATCTACTATACACCTGTTAAATCTACTGTTAAATCTACTATACACCTGTTAAATCTACTCTACTCCTGTTAAATCTACTATACACCTGTTAAATCTACTATACACCTGTTAAATATACTGTTTAATCTACTATACACCTGTTAAATCTACTATACACCTGTTAAATCTACTATACACCTGTTAAATCTACTGTTAAATCTACTATACACCTGTTAAATCTACTATACACCTGTTAAATCTACTCTACTCCTGTTAAATCTACTATACACCTGTTAAATCTACTATACAACCTGTTAAATCTACTATACACCTGTTTAAATATACTGTTAATCTACTGTTAAATCTACTATACACCTGTTAAATCTACTTACACACCTGTTAAATCTACTCTACTCCTGTTCAATCTACTAAACACCTGTTAAATCTACTATACACCTGTTAAATCTACTGTTAAATCTACTATACACCTGTTAAATCTACTATACACCTGTTAAATCTACTATACACCTGTTAAATCTACTGTTAAATCTACTATACACCTGTTAAATCTACTATACACCTGTTAAATATACTGTAATACTATACACCTGTTTACGAATCTACTATACACCTGTTAATCTACTTATCTACATACCCTGTTAAATATACTGTTAAATCTACTATACACCTGTTAAATATACTGTTAAATCTACTATACACCTGTTAAATCTACTTCCCTGTTAAATTACTGTTAAATCTACTATACACCTGTTAAATCTACTGTTGAATCTACTATACAGTGTCTGTAATAACCCCCTAGTTAGAACAGACTGGTAATAACTCCCTAGTTAGAACAGACTGGTAATAACCCCCTAGTTAGAACAGACTGGTAATAACTCCCTAGTTAGAACAGACTGGTAATAACTCCCTAGTTAGAACAGACTGGTAATAACCCCCTAGTTAGAACAGACTGGTAATAACTCCCTAGTTAGAACAGACTGGTAATAACTCCCTAGTTAGAACAGACTGGTATAACTCCCTAGTTAGAACAGACTGGTAATAACTCCCTAGTTAGAACAGACTGGTAATAACTCCCTAGTTAGAACAGACTGGTAATAACTCCCTAGGTTAGAACAGACTGGTAATAAACTCCCTAGTTAGAACAGACTGGTAATAACCCCTAGTTAGAACAGACTGGTAATAACTCCCTAGTTAGAACAGACTGGGTAATAACTCCCTAGTTAGAACAGACTGGTAATAACTCCCTAGTTAGAACAGACTGGTAATAACTCCCTAGTTAGAACAGACTGGTAATAAACCCCTAGTTAGAACAGACTGGTAATAACTCCCTATTTAGAACAGATGGTAATAACTCCCTAGTTAGAACAGACTGGTAATAACTCCCTAGTTAGAACAGACTGGTAATAACTCCCTAGTTAGAACAGACTGGTAATAACTCCCCTAGTTAGAACAGACTGGTAATAACTCCCTAGTTAGAACAGACTGGTAATAACTCCCTAGTTAGAACAGACTGGTAATAAACTCCCTAGTTAGAACAGACTGGTAATAACTCCCTAGTTAGAACAGACTGGTAATAACTCCCTAGTTAGAACAGACTGGTAATAACTCCCTAGTTAGAACAGACTGGTAATAACTCCCTAGTTAGAACAGACTGGTAATAACTCCCTAGTTAGAAACAGACTGGTAATAACTCCCTAGTTAGAACAGACTGGTAATAACTCCCTAGTTAGAACAGACTGGTAATAACTCCCTAGTTAGAACAGACTGGTAATAACTCCCTAGTTAGAAACAGACTGGTAATAACTCCCTAGTTAGAACAGACTGGTAATAACTCCCCTAGTTAGAACAGACTGGTAATAACCCCCTAGTTAGAACAGACTGGTAATAACCCCCTAGTTAGAACAGACTGGTAATAACCCCCTAGTTAGAACAGACTGGTAATAACCCCCTAGTTAGAAACAGACTGGTAATAACCCCCTAGTTAGAACAGACTGGTAATAACCCAAACTCCCTAGTTAGAACAGACTGGTAATAACTCCCTAGTTAGAACAGACTGGTAATAACTCCCTAGTTAGAACAGACTGGTAATAAAATAACTCCCTAGTTTAGAACAGACTGGTAATAACTCCCTAGTTAGAACAGACTGGTAATAACTCCCTAGTTAGAACAGACTGGTAATAACTCCCTAGTTTAAACAGACTGGTAATAACTCCCTAGTTAGAACAGACTGGTAATAACTCCCTATTAGAACAGACTGGTAATAACTCCCTAGTTAGAACAGACTGGTAATAACTCCCTAGTTAGAACAGACTGGTATAACCCCCTAGTTAGAACAGACTGGTAATAACTCCCTAGTTAGAACAGACTGGTAATAACCCCCTAGTTAGAACAGATTGGTAATTACTCCCTAGTTAGAACAGACTGGTAATAACCCCCCTAGTTAGAACAGACTGGTAATAACTCCCTAGTTAGAACAGACTGGTAAATAACTCCCTAGTTAGAACAGACTGGTAATAACTCCCTAGTTAGAACAGACTGGTAATAAACCCCCTAGTTAGAACAGACTGGTAATAACTCCCTAGTTAGGAACAGACTGGTAATAACTCCCTAGTTAGAACAGACTGGTAATAACTCCCTAGTTAGAACAGACTGGTAATAACCCCCTAGTTAGAACAGACTGGTAATAACTCCCCCTAGTTAGAACAGACTGGTAATAACTCCCTAGTTAGAACAGACTGGTAATAACCCCCTAGTTAGAACAGACTGGTAATAACTCCCTAGTTAGAACAGACTGGTAATAACCCCCTAGTTAGAACAGACTGGTAATAACTCCCTAGTTAGAACAGACTGGTAATAACTCCCTAGTTAGAACAGACTGGTAATAACCCCCTAGTTAGAACAGACTGGTAATAACCCCCTAGTTAGAACAGACTGGTAATAACCCCCTAGTTAGAACAGACTGGTAATAACCCCCTAGTTAGAACAGACTGGTAATAACTCCCTAGTTAGAACAGACTGGTATAACTCCCTAGTTAGAACAGACTGGTAATAACTCCCTAGTTAGAACAGACTGGTAATAACTCCCTAGTTAGAACAGACTGGTAATAACTCCCTAGTTAGAACAAGACTGGTAATAACCCCCTAGTTAGAACAGACTGGTAATAACTCCCTAGTTAGAACAGACTGGTAATAACTCCCTAGTTAGAACAGACTGTAATAACTCCCTAGTTAGAACAGACTGGTAATAACCCCCTAGTTTAGAACAGACTGGTAATAACTCCCTAGTTAGAAAGACGGTAATAACTCCCTAGTTAGAACAGACTGGTAATAACCCCTAGTTAGAACAGACTGTAATAACCCCTAGTTAGAACAGACTGTAATGAACTCCCTAGTTAGAACAGAACTGGTAATAACTCCCTAGTTAGAACAGACTGGTAATAACTCCCTAGTTAGAAACAGACTGGTAATAACTCCCTAGTTAGAACAGACTGGTAATAACTCCCTAGTTAGAACAGACTGGTAATAACCCCCTAGTTAGAACAGACTGGTAATAACCCCTAGTTAGAACAGACTGGTAATAACTCCCTAGTTAGAACAGACTGGTAATAACTCCCTAGTTAGAACAGACTGGTAATAACTCCCTAGTTAGAACAGACTGGTAATAACTCCCTAGTTAGAACAGACTGGTAATAACTCCCTAGTTAGAACAGACTGGTAATAACTCCCTAGTTAGAACAGACTGGTAATAACCCCTAGTTAGAACAGACTGGTAATAACCCCCCTAGTTAGAACAGACTGGTAATAACTCCCTAGTTAGAACAGACTGGTAATAACTCCCATAGTTAGAACAGACTGGTGAATAACCCCCTAGTTAGAACAGACTGGTAATAACTCCCCCCTAGTTAGAACAGACTGGTAATAACTCCCTAGTTAGAACAGACTGGTAATAACTCCCTAGTTAGAACAGACTGGTAATAACCCCCTAGTTAGAACAGGACTGGTAATAACTCCCTAGTTAGAACAGACTGGTAAATAACTCCCTAGTTAGAACAGACTGGTAATAACTCCCTAGTTAGAACAGACTGGTAATAACTCCCTAGTTAGAACAGACTGGTAATAACTCCCTAGTTAGAACAGACTGTATAACCCCCTAGTTAGAACAGACTGGTAATAACTCCCTAGTTAGAACAGACTGGTAATAACCCCCTAGTTAGAACAGACTGGTAATAACTCCCTAGTTAGAACAGACTGGTAATAACCCCCTAGTTAGAACAGACTGGTAATAACTCCCTAGTTAGAACAGACTGGTAATATCTCCCCTAGTTAGAACAGACTGGTAATAACTCCCTAGTTAGAACAGACTGGTAATAACCTCCCTAGTTAGAACAGACTGGTAATAACTCCCTAGTTAGAACAGACTGGTAATAACCCCCTAGTTAGAACAGACTGGTAATAACTCCCTAGTTAGAACAGACTGGTAATAACTCCCTAGTTAGAACAGACTGGTAATAACTCCCTAGTTAGAACAGACTGGTAATAACCCCCTAGTTAGAACAGACTGGTAATAACTCCCTAGTTAGAACAGACTGGTAATAACTCCCTAGTTAGAACAGACTGGTAATAACTCCCTAGTTAGAACAGACTGGTAATAACTCCCTAGTTAGAACAGACTGGTAATAACTCCCTAGTTAGAACAGACTGGTAATAACTCCCTTGTTAGAACAGACTGGTAATAACTCCCTAGTTAGAACAGACTGGTAATAACTCCCTAGTTAGAAACAGACTGGTAATAACTCCCTTGGATTAGTTAGAACAGACTGGTAATAACTCCCTATTAGAACAGACTGGTAATAACTCCCTAGTTAGAACAGACTGGTAATAACTCCCTAGTTAGAAACAGACTGGTAATAACTCCCTAGTTAGAACAGACTGGTAATAACTCCCTAGTTAGAACAGACTGGTAATACTCCCTAGTTAGAAACAGACTGGTAATAACCCCCTAGTTAGAACAGACTGGTAATAACTCCCTAGTTTAGAACAGACTGGTAATAACTCCTAGTTAGAACAGACTGGTAATAACTTCCTAGTTAGAACAGACTGGTAATAACCCCCTAGTTAGAACAGACTGGTAATAACCCCCTAGTTAGAACAGACTGGTAATAACTCCCTAGTTAGAACAGACTGGTAATAACTCCCTAGTTAGAACAGACTGGTAATAACTCCCTAGTTAGAACAGACTGGTAATAACTCCCTAGTTAGAACAGACTGGTAATAACTCCCTAGTTAGAAACAGACTGGTAATAACTCCCTAGTTAGAACAGACTGGTAATAACTCCCTAGTTAGAACAGACTGGTAATAACCCCCTAGTTAGAACAGACTGGTAATAACTCCCTAGTTAGAACAGACTGGTAATAACTCCCTAGTTAGAACAGACTGGTAATAACCCCCTAGTTAGAACAGACTGGTAATAACTCCCTAGTTAGAACAGACTGGTAATAACTCCCTAGTTAGAACAGACTGGTAATAACTCCCTAGTTAGAACAGACTGGTAATAACTCCCTAGTTAGAACAGACTGGTAATAACTCCCTAGTTAGAACAGACTGGTAATAACTCCCTAGTTAGAACAGACTGGTAATAACTCCCTAGTTAGAACAGACTGGTAATAACTCCCTAGTTAGAACAGACTGGTAATAACTCCCTAGTTAGAACAGACTGGTAATAACTCCCTAGTTAGAACAGACTGGTAATAACTCCCTAGTTAGAACAGACTGGTAATAACTCCCTAGTTATAACAGACTGGTAATAACTCCCTAGTTAGAACAGACTGGTAATAACTCCCTAGTTAGAACAGACTGGTAATAACCCCCTAGTTAGAACAGACTGGTAATAACTCCCTAGTTAGAACAGACTGGTAATAACTCCCTAGTTAGAACAGACTGGTAATAACCCCCTAGTTAGAACAGACTGGTAATAACCCCCTAGTTAGAACAGACTGGTAATAACCCCCTAGTTAGAACAGACTGGTAATAACTCCCTAGTTAGAACAGACTGGTAATAACTCCCTAGTTAGAACAGACTGGTAATAACTCCCTAGTTAGAACAGACTGGTAATAACCCCCTAGATATATAACCTTGGACCAGCCGGCTGTGGCTGGGTGCTGGTTCTCACCTCTCTAAAATGTAATTCTTACCTAAAGTGAAACATGTCTGCTAATAATTAAAGCATCATGATCGATTGGATTCGTGTACCAGAGGAAACTGCTATAGTGTAGGTTGATAGCCTGAGGGTAAACTGCTATAGTGTAGGTTGATAGGTTACTGAGGTTACTGAGTAGTTTCTCTCTGTCTGTATTACAGCTTGCATCCCAAATTACACCCTATTCCTTTTATAGTGCACTACTTTTGACCAGACCCCTATGGACAATGCTATGGGCCTTGGTCAAAAATAGTGCACTATGTAGGGAATAGGGTGGAGCAATGGTGGAACGAGCTCCCTCACGACGCCAGGACTGCGGAGTCACTCACCACCTTCCGGAGACATTTGAAACCCCACCTCTTTAAGGAATACCTGGGATAGGATAAAGTAATCCTTCTACCCCCCCCCCCCCTTACCCCACCCCAAAGAAAGAAAAAAAAACATACTGTAAAGTGGTTATCCCACTGGCTATAAGGTGAATGCACCAATTTGTAAGTCGCTCTGGATAAGAGCGTCTGCTAAATGACGTTAAGTGTAAATGTTGCTTCAATATATCCACATAATTTGAAGGTAGGCCTTGAAATACATCCACAGGTACACCTCCAATTAACTCAAATTATGTCACTTAGCCTATCAGAAGCTTCTAAAGCCATGACATCATTTTCTGGAATTTTCCAAGCTGTTTAAAATGTAAATGTGAAATTTGCGACGCAATGCTGTCCTCTATATAGTTAATATTGTTAATATGGTTTAAATCTAGGGGCTGAATGGTAAGCATGGTAAAAGCCGAAAGCCAAAGTCTTGCATCCCACACTGCACCCTGTTCCCACAGAGCACCATACGGGGATATATGGGCTCCGGCAGAGTCCAGCGTGGCTCAGATGGTAGAGCATGACGCTTGCAACGCCAGGGTTGTGGGTTCGATTCCCGCGGGAGACCAGTATGAAAAGGTATGTTAATGACAAAAAAGTGTTTAATGTCAATAGTAGTGCACTATATAGAGAAGAAGGTGTCATTTGGGACGTGGCCTAAACCACATAATGTATTCTTAGTCACCGTGTTCCCCTCCGCCTGGTCTTGTGTTGACTACAGTGGGCATCGATATGTCGTTAGCGTGGGGGTGAAGCTTTATCTGTGGTGTATTGCACTAATTAAGCTATAATGATTTCCTTTAAACTGCAGGCCCAACATTTTCACTACGGGGCTAGCATCTTAACTGGCCATTAGTTACTGGTAGCTACATGTGGGTATTAGAAACTATTAGAACTATCCCACTAACAACCGTAAAGCATTGAAATGTATACTGGAAACCATTTACCTTAGTAAGACATATGGCAATGATTTATCTTTATGTCAGTATGCACTGTGTGTATAAAACATTAGGAACACCTGTTCTTTCCATGACATAGACTTGACCAGGCGAATCCAGGTGAAAGCTATGATCCCGTATTGATGTCACTTGTTAAATCCACTTCAAATCAGTGTAGACGAAGGGGAGGATACATGTTAGACAAGGATTTTTAAGCCTTGAGCTAATTGAGACATTCATTGCGTATGTGTGCAATTCAGAGGGTGAATGGGCAAGACAAAAGATTTAGGTGCCTTTGAACGGGGTATGGTAGTAGGTGCCAGGCGCACCGGTTTGTGTCAAGAACTGCAACGCCGCTGGGTTTTTCACGCTCAACAGTTGCCCGTCTGTATCAAGAATGGTCCATCACCCAAAGGACATCCAGCCAACTTGACACAACTGTGGGAAGCATTGGAGTCAACATGGTGCCAGCATCCCTGTGGAACGCTTTCGACACCTTGTAGAGTCCATGCCCCGACACTCAGTGTATATGGCAACTATTTATCTTTGTATATATGGCAACTGTATATGACAAGTATTTAATTTTAGTGACAAATGCATCATGATATAACATATTATATACAGTGATGTGTTCTGTACAGTAGAATATATCCAGTGATGTGTTCTGTACAGTAGGATATATACAGTGATGTGTTCTGTACAGTAGGATATATCCAGTGATGTGTTCTGTACAGACAGTAGGATATATCCAGTGATGTGTTCTGTACAGACAGTAGGATATATCCAGTGATGTGTTCTGTACAGTAGGATATATACAGTGATGTGTTCTGTACAGTAGGATATATCCAGTGATGTGTTCTGTACAGTAGGATATATACAGTGATGTGTTCTGTACAGACAGTAGGATATATACAGTGATGTGTTCTGTACAGTAGGATATATCCAGTGATGTGTTCTGTACAGTAGAATATATACAGTGATGTGTTCTGTACAGACAGTAGGATATATACAGTGATGTGTTCTGTACAGACAGTAGGATATATCCAGTGATGTGTTCTGTACAGTAGGATATATCCAGTGATGTGTTCTGTACAGTAGGATATATCCAGTGATGTGTTCTGTACAGTAGGATATATAACAGTGATGTGTTCTGTACAGTAGGATATATACAGTGATGTGTTCTGTACAGACAGTAGGATATATACAGTGATGTGTTCTGTACAGTAGGATATATACAGTGATGTGTTGCTGTACAGTAGCATATATACAGTGATGTGTTCGTACAGTAGATATATACAGTGATGTGTTCTGTACAGTAGGATATATACAGTGATGTGTTCTGTACAGTAGGATATATACAGTGATGTGTTCTGTACAGTAGCATATATCCAGTGATGTGTTCTGTACAGTAGCATATATACAGTGATGTGTTCTGTACAGTAGCATATATCCAGTGATGTGTTCTGTACAGTAGAATATATCCAGTGATGTGTTCTGTACAGTAGCATATATCCAGTGATGTGTTCTGTACAGTAGAATATATCCAGTGATGTGTTCTGTACAGTAGCATATATCCAGTGATGTGTTCTGTACAGTAGAATATATACAGTGATGTGTTCTGTACAGTAGCATATATCCAGTGATGTGTTCTGTACAGTAGCATATATCCAGTGATGTGTTCTGTACAGTAGAATATATCCAGTGATGTGTTCTGTACAGTAGGATATATACAGTGATGTGTTCTGTACAGTAGGATATATACAGTGATGTGTTCTGTACAGTAGATATATCCAGTGATTGTTGTCGTACAGTAGGATATATACAGTGATGTGTTCTGTACAGTAGGATATATACAGTGATGTGTTCTGTACAGTAGGATATATACAGTGATGTGTTCTGTACAGTAGAATATATCCAGTGATGTGTTCTGTACAGTAGGATATATACAGTGATGTGTTCTGTACAGTAGGATATATACAGTGATGTGTTCTGTACAGTAGGATATATCCAGTGATGTTGTTCTGTACAGTAGGATATATAACCGTGAATGTGTTCTGTACAGTAGGATATATACAGTGATGTGTTCTGTACAGTAGGATATATACAGTGATGTTTCTTTACGTAGCATATATACAGTGATTGTGTTCTGTACAGTAGGATATATACAGTGATGTGTTCTGTACATAGGATATATACAGTGATGTGTTCTGTACAAGTAGCATATATACAGTGATGTGTTCTGTCAGACAGTAGGATATATCCAGTGATGTGTTCTGTCACAGTAGAATATATCCATGATGTGTTCTGTACAGTAGGATATTCCAGTGATGTGTTCTGTACAGACTAGGATATATCCAGTGATGTGTTCTGTACAGTAGGATATATACGTGATGTGTTCTGTACAGTAGGATATATACAGTGATGTGTTCTGTAACAGTAGCATATATACCAGTGATGTGTTTTCCTGTACAGTAGAGATATCCAGTAGTGTTCTGTACATAGAAATATCCAGTGATGTGTTTCTGTACAGTAGAATATACCAGTGATGTGTTTCTGTACAGTAGGATATATCCAGTGATGTGTTCTGTACAGTAGAATATATACAGTGATGTGTTCTGTACAGTAGCATTATCCAGTGATGTGTTCTGTACAGTAGAATATATCCAGTGATGTGTTCTGTACAGTAGAATATATACAGTGATGTGTTCTGTACAGACGTAGGATATATCCAGTGATGTGTTCTGTACAGACAGTAGGATATATCCAGTGATGTGTTCTGTACAGTAGGATATATACAGTGATGTGTTCTGTACAGACGTAGTGATTATTCCAGTGATGTGTTTTCTGTACAGACAGTAGGATAAAATCCAGTGATGTGTTCTGTACAGTAGGTTAAACCGTGGGTTTGTTTCTGTAACGTAGGGTTATAAAAGTGATGTGTTCTGTACATAGTATATCCGTGAGTGTTCCCGTACAGTTAGGTAATATATACATGATGGGGTTCTGTACAGTAGGATATTTACAGTATGTGTTTCTTACATAGGAATTATACAGTGATGTTTCTGTAAACTAGAATATATACAGCGATTGTTCTGTACAGTAGGATATAATGTGATGTTTTTTCGTAAATAGGGAAAATCCATGATTGTGTTCTGTACAGTAGGATTATACAGTGATGTGTTCTGTACAGTACATATAACAGTGATGTGTTCTGTACAGACGTAGGATATACCCCAGTGATGTGTTCTGTACAGTAGAATATATCAGTGATGTGTTCTGTACAGTGGGATCTATACAGTGATGTGTTCTGTACAGTAGAATATATCCAGTGATGTGTTCTGTACAGTAGGATATATCCAGTGATGTGTTCTGTACAGTAGGATATATCCATGATTTCGAAGTAGTTATCGTTCGTACATAGGATATATACAGTGATGTGTTCTGTACAGTAGGATATATACAGTGATGTGTTTCTGTACATGTAGCACGGGATATATCCAGTGATGTGTTCTGTACAGTAGGATATATACGTGATGTGTTCTGTACAGTAGGATATATCCAGTGATGTGTTCTGTACAGTAGGATATCCCAGTGATGTGTTCTGTACAGTAGGATATATCCAGTGATGTGTTTCTGTACAGTAGATGATATATTTCACAGCTAGATGTTGTTTGTTCTGTACAGTAGGATATATACAGTGATGTGTTCTGTACAGTAGGATATATCAGTGAATGTTTCTGTACAGTAGGATATATACAGTGATGTGTTCTGTACAGACAGTAGGATATATCCAGTGAGGGTTTCTGTACAGACGTAGGATATATCCAGTGATGTGTTCTGTAACAGTAGGATATATCCAGTGATGTGTTCTGTACAGTAGGATTATACAGTGATGTGTTCTGTACAGTAGCGATATATACAGTGATGTTTCTGTACAGTAGGATATATACTGATGTGTTCTGTACAGTACATATATACAGTGATGTGTTCTGTACAGTAGCATATATCCAGTGATGTGTTCTGTACAGTAGGATATATACAGTGATGTGTTCTGTACAGTAGGATATATACAGTGATGTGTTCTGTACAGTAGATATATACAGTGATGTGTTCTGTACAGGTAGGATATATACAGTGATGTGTTCTGTACAGTAGGATATATACAGTGATGTGTTCTGTACAGTAGCGATATAACAGTGGATGTGTTCTGTACAGCTAGGATATATACAGTGATGTTGTTCTGTACAGTAGGATATATACAGTGATGTGTTCTGTACAGTGATATATCCAGTGATGTGTTCTGTACAGTAGGATATGCGTCAACATTGTCCTCACACAATAGATATTGAAACCTATTACTATTCCAGTACTGTTATACTGAACATTCAAATGCTGATAATACAAATGCAATACGGCTGGCTATTCACTGCTCATGTTGAACACACACACACACACACACACACACACACACACACACACACAGACAGACAAATACGCACACACACACACAGAAAGGAATTAGTAAACTAATTCAAGGATCCTACACAAATGAACCAATGTGCATCCTGAGAGAGAAGGCATTAGCATGACAAAACCAACAGTGTCTCTGTGTAACGGTGTGGTTTTATACAAGGCTGGCTGTAACCAACAGTGTCTCTGTGTAACGGTGTGGTTTTATACCAGGCTGGCTGTAACCAACAGTGTCTCTGTGTAACGGTGTGGTTTTATACCAGGCTGGCTGTAACCAACAGTGTCTCTGTGTATCGGTGTGGTTTTATACCAGGCTGGCT